GTTCTAGGGTCTCTGCCGAACCCAAATTCGGGCCAGATATGGTGGCGCTTCCTCTCCTTGTTATATTTAGCTCCTTGTTCTACACGAGCCTGTTAAGCAGGAGTGAGAAAATCCACGTACAGATATGTCCAACGTGACCTCATACGCTGTTTTCACAGCATCATGTCGACTTAGTTGTTTCCCACCAACTATTCGAGCCTCAATTCCTCCGCCATTAGACAGATCTGTGCCTCTATCCTGATCCTGCGAACAAAGATGATTACACTTAGCAACTATGCATGCGCATTGCTGATATTATAACCTTTAATTTGAAATTATGAGATTTTCTATAGCACTCGTCTAAAATTGATGGACTTTCCACATGAAACGATGCAACATTTACCTCTCGTGAGTCGAATTGCACCTCCAGCCACGATACGGGCAGTGCTGGTATTTTCAGCTTGGCATTTGCGAGTTGCGGGTTAGGCTGCCTCAGCTCTGCAGCCCATGCATGCCAGACAGGATGGCTTCCCTCTTCAAGCACGCCCGTACTGTTCGGTGATGAAGCCTCTCTAGCATCTTCTGGCTTCGTCCCGATCGGCGATTCCACGTCAACCGATTCGAACCTTCCGTCTGTCGACGTATCAACGCGAGCCGACGTGTTGTCGTTTGTTTCCGATTTTTTGTTAGCTGGTACGTCACTGCCGGCCGGTACGTCACTGCCGGCCGGTAAGTCACTTCCGGCCGGCGACCGTTCGACTGATGATTCGCTCGCCGTGTGATAGTTGTCGGTGGCGGTCCGACGAGGCGAGCCGGCGCGCAGCATCGTACTCGTCGCCATAGCAACTGCACTCGCGACGACGCCGCTCGATGTTTCTACGACGACGGATCTCGGATCGGGGCCGGAACCGGACCGAGGAGCGTCGTCCGACGCATGCGTGATTTCGCTCCCCCGCGCGCTCACTCTGCGGTCGGTGCCCCCTGGAGTTGTCAGTAACACGTCCTGATGTGGGGACAACACCGCGTGCGTCACTTCGCTCCCTCGCGCACTCACTCCGACGTCAGTGCCCCCTGGAGTTGTCAGTACGACGTCCTGCTGTGGGGACGACACCGCGTGCGTCACTTCACTCCCTCGCGCGCTCACTCCGACGTCAGTGCCCCCTGGAGTTGTCAGTACGACGCCCTGCTGTGGGGACGACACCGCGGGTTCCCCGTCGTAGGGGAGTCCTAGTGATTGGTAGAGAGCCGGCCACAGATCTTCTATCCACGGTTCGACAACGAGCTCGAGACTGAAAGACAGATAGAAATCGGTCAGATAAAAGGCTAATCGCCCCTTAAACATTTGGCCGCGAATAGAGATGTCGTCGCGAAGAAGCGACANGCGCTCACTCTGCGGTCGGTGCCCCCTGGAGTTGTCAGTAACACGTCCTGCTGTGGGGACGACACCGCGTGCGTCACTTCACTCCCTCGCGCGCTCACTCCGACGTCAGTGCCCCCTGGAGTTAGTAACACGTCCTGCTGTGGGGACGACACCGCGTGCATCACTTCACTCCCTCGCACGCTCACTCCGACGTCAGTGCCCCCTGGAGTTAGTAACACGTCCTGCTGTGGGGACGACACCGCGTGCGTCACTTCACTCCCTCGCGCGCTCACT